GTTTGGCAGAAGGGTATGAGAGGTTGGGGGAGAGGAGGAGAGAGTACCCCAGGCCACTTCTGTGCCCCGAAGACTTTATCAAGCCACTCCAGGGCTCCTTCCCCCCACTACAGCTAGCAGTGGAGTCTGGACCACTGGAGAATGATTTAGCTAGCTCTCCAATAGAGATCATAAAATGCACCCTGTACTGGGCTTGCAGCTTCTTTATTATGCTAAATGGACAAGGGCAGCCAGGGCGGACTTTAAACTCTTTCCCCTGGTGGTCCCAGGCTGGGTTTCAGCGCAGGGGCTGATGGGTGTTCAAAAGGGCCGGGCTAGGCAAAGACTCTCCATACCCATCCAGGAGTTTGGCTCAATTATTTTCATATGCATCTTTTTTTAAGTTGGAAGAAAAATGTGGACTCAGAAGGACCATTGAATACCTGTCACTCAAACTGCCCTCACATGATCCTTCCAGTGCCAGGCTGTATTTGCCGGCCAGAGATGCCCAGGGCCAGAGGCTCTCCAGCCCAGCGCTGCCACAAGGAGGGCAGCCCCTGCACCCAGTGCAGCTCAGGCCTCCCTGACGCCAAAGAAGACTCTGAAATGATACGTTTGTTCTGCCTTTACTGCTGCATTTTTTTTTTTTAAAAGAATTGCTACACTAGAATGAATGGATTATGAGTAAATAAAAAGAAGCTGTCAGTCTCTTTGAAGGTTGTGTTTAAAGGGACTTGCCAAGTCAGGACAGAGAGTGACAAGATAGAGACCCTGGTGTTTTGCATGCTCAGCTCGGTTCTTCCGCTTCATCTGCACCGCACTAAAGGTTGTGTGAGGCATTGAATCGCAAAAAAGTGGCACGCAAAATAAAAGGTGCCACATCACAATGATTGCAGTGTTTTTAACTGCGAAGTGCCACACTGCCCAATCCAACAGAAACGCAGGTCTACGCAGCCGAAGGAAACGGTGCAATACTTCCATAACTTATAATTAAGTTGAAGTCAGCCTAACATTTGACTTTCTAATGAGTGTAATGAGATTACATGCCTGATGAAAGCATTTGTGCAAAAGCAACTTTCGTGTTTAATGAGGCCCTAATACAGGGCAAAATCGAATTATTTTCTCTCCTTCTGAAATTCTGTCTCCAAAGTGAAATCTTCTTTTAGGAGGAGGAGAGGGAGAGGGCGCGAAGGCTTAAAAAGGGTGAGAGGGTCCACGGCCAAGGGGCTCCCGGGAGCCTCGCGACCCAGAATCTCCGCGTGTCTGGCCAGGCCGCGCTGCGGGGTCGGGCTCGCGGCCTCGCTTTAATTGCTCTTGGACGAGCTCCATGGCACCCGCGGCGCGCAGGGAACCCCTCGGTGGGTCTGAAACTAGGTTAAAGCAATTAGCATGCTGCCAACATATTGTCCTGCGGCAGGACCGTGGATCTTAGGGGCCATCCGCAAGTGCACCTTCGCCGACCAGGCCGCTGCGGACCGCGGAGCCGCAGCCCGCCTGGGCCCGGCCTGAGCCGCGCGGGGCTGCGGTGCGACGCGAAGGAGCGCGTTTCTAGCAGACGCTCGCGCCAGCGCCATCTGCGCGCGCGCAGGGCCTCGCCGTCCACTGCCGCGCGTCCCGGCTCCGGCAGGCAGGGGAGGACGCTTCGAGAGCCCGGGAGGAGCTCGTGGCCACAGAGGAGACAAACCCAAGTCTGGACTCCCCGGCTTTCTGGCTAAGGGACCTTGGCCGCGCCCTCGCTCTTCTCCCCTTCGCTAGGGGGCGACCCTGCGCCCCTCGCCCCAGGCTTGCCTTCTCCCCAGGTTGCTGGCCGAGGAGGATCAAGTTCTGTTGAAGGCAAAACGAACTAAGTTTTGGAAGTAAGCTTATTGCAAAGGTGGTAGGGGTGGCGAGCGACTTCTTCCTACGTGACCTTAGAGACCTTGGATTTTGTTGAGTGGCCTCTGAGTGGTCTTCAGGCTTTGGCACCGTAGCCTGCCCCATCTCCTTTGAAAGGAGTACTCCTGAGTTCCAGGTACCTGCTGCTGTTGCTGCTGAAGAGGCTGGTCACAGGGCAGCTCAAGAGCAGCCCCTTTCCCAGCCGGTGGAAGCAGAAAGGCCCATTCTCTTAGCCAGCCCACTAGTCCCCTGCTCCTGTCGTACACCGTGCGCTCAATTTTATACACCAGGAATAGGCAGGGCGGGGTGACCTTGAGTAAATCAAATGTCATCTCTGAGCCTTACCTTTCCCATCTGCAAAATGGGAACAATAAATACTCCAAGATATATTTGCCCAATAGGGTGTTTGGAAGGTGGGCTAAAAAATACAGACAAAAGCTGCTACGTAGGGCAGGCGACCTAGATGAAGTTCTGTCATAGAACATAGAACGTTGAGGTCTAATTCTTTAACCCACCCACCTTTAGGCTAAATCTGAAATGTAGTTTCTTACTAGAGAGCTACACTTCTGAGTCTCTGGTTCGGTTAATTTTTTACTAATTCTTTCTAACAATTATCTATCAGATCATGTACTCAAAAACCTTCAGGAAAAGTCGTAAATAGCATTTATTGACAACGCTTAGAAATAAACCATATCTGGCAATAAATAAGCATAACGTTTTCTGGCCAGAATTCTCCCAGCAACACAGAGTTCAGGAAAATCATATTATTGCATATTTTCAGAAAATCAAGATAAATTATATAAATTATATATTTTAAAAGAAATCATTGATTTCATCAACTCAACAGGATAATAAATAGATAAATAACAGTTGATTGCCATTAGAAAACTTTGATTCTTAAATTACATTTACATTATAGATATTTACATGTACAATATGCACAGAGACATAATCAGATCCTCAGCCGAGTCTGGGACTTTTCAGGACACAAACTCAAATGGTGGTTCGTTTTCTATGTTGTTGAAGGAAGATTTGCTGTTGAGTTTCCTGGGGTCCTCTGGGGTCCAGACTTTGGCTGTTCGGATAATATTTTGTTCCTTGAGTTGTTTTTCATCAGTCCAAGAGAGAGAGTGTCCTGCTAGCGGAGGGAGGCCATAATCCGGGTCGCTGGGGGAGGGGGACCCTGGAGAGGTGAGAAGAGAGAACAGACTGTGAATCTCCAACCACATTCCCAGTGATCCCATCAAGTTCTTTAGGACCCTTTCCTGGGCACCTCAACTGAGCAGGTGTCCTCCGGTTATACTAAAACCACTTTCTTCCTCCACACTTCAAGCCCCCACCATCACCTCCCAGGAATCCCGGGAGCTGCAAGTCTGGCGGGGACGCGCACCCTGGAAAGCCGAGGTCAAAGTGGCAGGGGAAAAAAAAAAAAAAAACCTGAAAAACCCCAGCTCGAGTTCAAGGTTGCCAATGCCCACTGACAGTCCGTCGGTCCGTCTGTCTGCTTGGCAGTCAGCTCCTCCAGCCCCTCCGGAGCCTTCGAGTGCCCGGTCCCCGTCTCCCTGAGCTGGGAAGCGGACGCACTTACGGGTGCCCCGATGGCAGATGATGACCTTCGGGGCCTGGCTGCCCGGACTGTCCCCGCCCAGGCGACCGCCGCCACCCGGGCCCCCGCAGCCGCCCGCGCCACCGCCCCGCAAGGGCAGGTCGGCCTGCACGAGTTCGCTGAGGAAGTTGATGTAGCCGATGGCCAGGCGCAGCGTGTCCACCTTGGAGAGGCGCTTCTCGTACGGCAGTGTGGGGATGTGCGAGCGCAGCCCCTCGAAGGCGTCGTTGATAGACTGCATGCGCCGCCGCTCGCGCACGTTGGCCGCCTGGCGCAGCTGCTGCAGCTCCGCCTCGGAGCGCACCCGCCGCCGCCGCCGCGCCGCCGCCGCCGCAGTTCCGCTCAGGCCGCGCAGCCGCGCCCCGGGGGACGTAAGCATGGCCGCCCCAGCGCATGGGTATGCCAGGCACGAGGGCGGCGAGCCGGGCGAGTAGGGGAAGCCGCCGGGGGGCGCCCCCGCCTCGCAGCAGTAGCCGCCGCCGCCGCCGCAGCCGTCCTCTGGCTCACCGGGGCCCCTGGAGGGCGGCTGGGCGAGCGCGAGCGGGGCGGCCGGGGGCGCGGGCTGTAGCAGCAGGCACGCCCCGTCGCGGTAGCAGTACTCGTGCAGCTGGTGGCTAAGGAACTCCACCTCGGCCTGCTCGTCAGCCAGCAGCTCATCGCCGTCCTCCAGAGGGTCCCTGGAAGACTGGTCGGTAAAGAAGTCGTCCTCGTCGAAGTAGGGAGAAGGGAAGGCGTCCAGGCCCCCAGGGAAGTGCTCCAGCAGCACCGCGTCCATGCTCACCGCCGGAGTGGGCAGCTGGACTGCCGGGCTGCTCTTGGTACTTCTTGGTAAGTTTCGGTGGCGGGCGTCGCCCGTCCGAGCCCCTCCCTTCCCGGGGCCCTGGCTGGGGGCAGCGAGGCGGCCGCCGGGCTGCCCGCCCTCGAGCCTCCCTGGAGTGCCCGCAGCCGCTGCGCTCTGACCGGCGCCCGCGCTGCGCTGGGGAGGGCTGTGGAGGACTTGCTGGAGCTGAGGGCCGGCACGCGAGGATTCTTATAACAACATCCACAGGCGCGTGCCAGGGACCCGCTGCGCCAGCCAATCAGAGCGCGGGGTGCGGGCGGTGAGGGGGCCCGGAGGAGCGGCAGTGGGCGGGGGCGGGGGGCACTTTGCTCCCTTTAGGAGTTCCTGGGGCGAGGAAAAGGCGGGGCTTTGCGATCCCGGCTTCTCGCACAGCTCTCCTCCGGCTCCGCTGCCTCTGCGTACTGGCTTCCTTACCTGCCTCGCGCGCGGTTCCAGGGGCACCTGCGTCACTCAGTACCCGCCGCCTACCCCCGCGCTGCGCACCGCCTGGCCTTTCCGCCCTAGGGCTGGGGCAGGTGCGCGCTGCATCTACAGGCAGCCAGAGAAGCTCCTAGGGGTGCGCGCCGGTGGCCCAGATGGCGAGAGCGGAGGCCGCGCGGCGATCATCCTCCTCCGCTGCAGCCCGGGCAATCCAAGGGTGCTGCCCTCAGGGGACGGGTGGGTGCATTCCGCCACCCACTTATCAGAGGCGCGCGCAGGGCTCCTGCCTAGGTTCCCTTGGGGGCCTGTACCCCATCTCTGGACTTTTCAAGGGCTTTTGCACAGTTTGCAGCGGATATGCGGGTGGCATTGGAAGGTGAGCCCGGCCCACTCCCAAGGCGTTCCGGACGCAGCACAAGGGATGAGAGCGCACCTATGGGACGCCGCCCCAGAGCCTGGCTCTGGTGCCTGATGCCTGTCCCCAGCGACGTCGGCTCAGCGGCAGCCTCCCCTGCCCTTCCCCGCCTGGAGAAAGGAATGGGGAGACGGGAGGGGCTGCCTCCAAAAGCAGCTCAGCAGGACGCGTTTCTTCTGAGAGCAGATCGAGACCCTAGGGATTCTGAGCAATAAACTGGATACAAAAGGAGTCAATTGAATCGTCTGCTCCGGCAGAGTCCGGAGGGAGGGCATTGAAGTTAAAGGGCAGAGTGTGAACCGTTTTCAAAGCCCGAGTCTCTCACCTTTCTGACTGGCCACCGGGACCATCCCTGAATGATTTGTTTTTTTCTTTCTCGACCTTTCTTTTCTGGGGAAAAAAAAAAAAATGCAAAACGTACGAGAAACTCTGCCCCAAGATAGACTTTATCACAGACTGCGATGCAACGTGAATTCCTCCTTTTGAGAGCAACAAAGAAACACTTTCAAGGTCTGGGCAATTCCGGTTGAAAACCAAACTGCAGCTTCCACTGTGGGAGAGTTCAGAAGCGCAACCATCCAGCGTATTCTCTCAACCGAGGAGTAAAAGAGTGGTCCTCCTGGGCCGCTTCCTTTTGCAGGCACTTGTCTCACCAGAGATTTGTTCAGATGCCTCTCAAATTCCAAGTCATGCCTCTTAATATTGGTTATTTAAATACGATTCTTGGTTTTAGAAATTGCACTGTAATTAACTGAATTGAGACCAAAGAGTTAAACCAAAAGATACATAAGGTTAGAAGGCCAGAGATTGCCTTACCTTGAACTGCCAGCAACCCCAGACCATTTTAACCCAAAGATTGGCTTTCAGCAGGTTCTTTCCTGTGTTAGTTTCTCAGCCTTCTTAGTGAAGGAGTCGTTCGTTCACTATTTGCATATCCTTAAAGCCAAATATGGCCAGGTTCCCGGTGAAAGAACCTGAGTTGTGATTTTCCGAATTTAGATGTCTCTTTCTGACCCCAAAGCGGGGGGAGGGCAGGGATCTAGCCAGCTATCGGTGTGCACCCTCCCCTTCCTCACTTAGACAGAAACTAAGTGGAAGCATGCCCAGGGGTCAATGTGAGAACATGCAAGAGTAACAAATTACCCAGCTTCAAAGCCTTATCGGAAATATTGATAACCATCCACTGAAGAGAAAACTAGAATTGAGCCTACAAAGTCTCTTTTCAAGAGGCTGAAAGGCTTTCTGGTGGCTCTCTAGGCTGGTGGTTCTTGAGAAACTATGTGTCATAGACATGTGGGTAGGTCAAGGACTGGGAGACAGGAGAGTGAGTGTGAATATATGGGTGTTGTTGTTGTTGTTGTTGTTGTTGTTGTTGTTGTTTGAAACAAAGTCTTGCTCTGTCACCCAGGCTGTAGTGCAGTGGCACAATCTCGTTTCACTGCAACCTCTACCTCCCAGGTTCAAGGAATTCTCCTGCCTCAGCCTCCCAAGTAGCTGGGATTACAGGTGCCCACCACCACACCTGGCTAATTTTTGTATTTTTAGTAGAAACGGGGTTTCACCATGTTGGCCAGGCTGTTCTCAAACTCCTGACCTTAAGTGATCCACTCACCTTGGCCTCCCAAAGTGTTGGGATTACAGGCATGAGCCACTGTGCCCTGCTATATATGGGTATCTTTTTATTCGATGTGATTTTAGCAATCCACTTCCACAGAATATCATCTTACATATTTTTGATGAGTTTGTGGAAGAGTTACAGAAATTCACCTTGGGTACCCAGTGAGCTCATGGGAAATGCACTGCTAGTAGGAAACTTATTTTCTTTATGAAGGGAAGTACAACTAGCATGCAGGTTCTGGGTGGCTCCCGGGGGTGCATAAATGAGCCTGGGTTAGGAGGAAGAAATAAAGTACTCACCTGTTGAATAAAGTACTCACCTGTTGAATAAAGTACTCACCTGTTTCAGATATAGCCTTTCCTACCCTTCTTCCTACTCATCCTTTCTCCACCACCCTCGAAGTTTTTGGAGAATTGCTGGCTGTGTGTAGACTGGCCTTGTTGAGAATCTAGGACAAGGCCTACAGTGACACTGTGTCTCACACACACACACACACACACACACACACACACACAGACACACACACACACACGCACTTTAAATAAGACATGATCATTCTTTTCTCTTATAAAAAGAAGAAAGACTTCTCCACTAATAAAGGGAATTTTCTCTGGGTCACTGGAGGTCACGACTATGTGGACGGCTGCCCTCTGCCACTGGAAGCAACAGGTTGGGTGAGAAGACTGAAACTGAGTCTTCCCTTGCTAGGCTAGAGGCCCCCACTCTCTGTCCAGCCCTCCGTACTCCTGGACCTCTGGGTAGTAGGGGAGCCTGGAGAGGGACTTGGTCACAAGGCTCCAGGAGTCTCAGAGAGAAAGAGAGAAGAGGGGGGTGGGGGAGAGGAGGCTGCTGCCAAAGCTGCAAGCTGCTCCTTTCTCTGCCAGGCTCAGGCTTCTTCTTGCCATGCTTTGTCCCCATGAGAGATGTTCCTTAACCTTGTAAAGACCTCTGCCTTATTACAGAATTGTATCTCATCCCCCACGGTGGACAGAAGAAGGAGAGCTGGGTTTTTTCTAGTGCCAATCCCTGGTGAGACCTCAAGACTTTTTCTTTTTCTTTCTTTCCTTTTTTTTTTGAGACAGAGTCTCACTCTGTTACCCAGGCTGCAGTTCAATGCCTCAGTCTCGACTCACTGCAACGTCTGCCTTGCAAGTTCAAGTGATTCCCTTGCCTCAGCCTCCCGAGTAGCTGGGATGACAGGCATCCCCCATCATGCCAACTCAGTTTTGTATTTTGTAGAAATGGGGTTTCACCATGTTGACCAGGCTGGTCTTTAACTCATGACCTCAGGTGATCTGCCTGCCTCAGCCTCCCAAAGTGCTGGGTTTACAGGCTTGAGCCATTGCACCTGGCCGACTTTTTCATACCTTTCAACAGGGGCACAGTGCCACCCTGTTGCCCTGGGCCTGGCAGCTTCCCAGGCTTCCTCTGGGCTTCTTGTAGGTCTGGTCCCATCTCCTAGTTTTCAGCTGCAGGAGAGCTCCTGGCCAAGGCCATTGATGTTGAGCCTTGGTCTCATCTCTTCTCTCTCTGTCTCTCTCTCATTATTGTTTTACAGACAGGGCGTTGTTCTGTAACCCCAGCTGGAGTACAGTCGTTCGATCATGGCTCACTGCAGCCCTGAACTCCTGGGCCTATGGCATCCTCCTGCAACTGAAAGGCCTCTGAGGCCCAGAGGGGTTCAGAGGCTTTCCTAAGGTCACATAGCAAGTTCGTGTCAGTCTTTTTTTAAATATAGATTTTTTAAAAATAGAGACAAGGTCTCCCTATGTTGCCCAGGCTGTGGTCTCAAACTCCTGGCCTTAAGTTATCCTCCCACCTTGGCCTCCAAAAGCACTAAAAATACAGGTGTAAGTCACCACAACCAGCCAAGTTAATGCTAGCCTCATCCATCTCAGCCCAGTACCAGATCCACCGGCTGCTTAGAACAGATTCCTGCCTGTTTCCTTCACACTTCAAAGGCATATTTGTAATTATGTGCAGTGTTGTCTAGGCTGGTCTTGAACTCCTGGCTTCAAGATATCCTCCCACCTCGGCCTCCCAAAGTGGACAGATTACAGATGTGAGCCACTGTGCCCAGCCCCTTTATTCTGAAGAAGTTGCTGAATGTAGTTGCCTTGAATATGATTTTCACATGCATTAGCTCATTTGCTCCGAAAACAGAATTGTGAGATGAACTGGGCAGCGTTTTATTAATTTTTTATTTTTATTCCTTTTTTTGAGACCAGATCTCAGTGTGTCACCCAGGCTGGAGGGCAGTGGTGTGATCACAACCCACTGTGGCCTCTAACTCCTGGGCTCCAGGGATCCTCCATACTCAGTCTCCCCAGTAGCTAGGACTACAGGTGCACACAACCACGCCCAGCTTGGGCAGATTGCTCATCATTCACAAGTAGAAACAGATTCAGAAGGGCTAACTGGCTTGGAGTGACATGCCGGCATCCTTGAGCCACAAGTGGAAATAAGTGGCTTTCTAGCACAAGGGAGAGGGGATCTCAGCATGGTGAGGAAGGCTTTCTCATGAGACATTCTCCACTCTGTGGCTGCTCAGCCTAAAACAATACATAAACAAAGCTGGGCCATCTCCCACTGAAAATGAGGGCAGGAGGCACATATCTGTGGTAAGACACAGAGAAGCCCCACAGGCTGAATGCCCAGTCCCATTCTTTCTTGCCTTTGCATTTCTCCTTGTTAAACATTAACC